GCCCAGGCCCACGAGCTCCCGGCAGCGCTGCTGGCCGACGTGAGGCCGCTTGTGTCAGGAACAAACCCTCTGGCGCTCCCCTGGAAGAGCTGGTGCCGCCAGTCAGCTCCCAGAGGGTGGCTGCATGGCAGGGCCACTCGGCAAGCAAACGGGGCACCAGCCCACGCATCACCAGCCCGGTGGGGGGCAGGCTGAGAGCTGGCGAGCCAAGGGGCACCGCGGGGGATGTCTGGGCCTGGCAGCCTCCTTAGAGCGTCGCCCTCTGGGCTCCTGCAGTGCAGGTTGGGTTGGCATCCCCATCACTCAGCCGGAGGGTGGGCCCAGTGCTGCCCCTTCCCCCCTGAGCTTCATGTAGCGTTGCTGTGAGACTGTTGTAAAGCCCCTTTTCCTCACCCCAGAGGTGGCTGCATCTCAGTGCTGGGCAGGGGATCCCTGTATGAACAGCCCCAGTGCCCCACCCCAGAGGTGGCCGCATCTCAGCATGTGCTCCAGACTGGGATAAAAAGCTATCGGGAGGCAGCGTGGCTGCTGGGTATGCAGGCGATGGCTGCTAGGGGTCCCAGGCCTCATGTCTGCTCAGGTGCCTCCCTGCGCTGTGACTCAGACACGTGTGGCTGGCAAGCGGCCAAGGCCCAGGAGCTGGGTTATGTAAGCAGGGAGTTCAGGCAAGGCCAGCGTGGGGGTTGGGCCACGCTCCCCCGCCCTGCCCTGCTTCCCCTTATTCAAACCCCACCCAGCAGAGGGCAGCAGGCAGCTGAGTGGGCACGGGGTGGCGTAGAGGGCCAGACCCTGGGTGGGGCTGACAGTACAGGGGTGCCTAGGGGCCCCGACCAGGATCGGTGTGCTGAGTTCTGCGCCCTGACCTAGAGTGGGGTCCCAGTTGTGTCAGGTGCTGCATAGATCCCACCCGCCACACCTGCTCACCCCAAGATCGGGGTCCCCCTTTGTGCCAGGCGCTGCCCAAACCCAGACCAAGATCAGGCTCGCCACAGGAACCCAGGGATTGTACAGGCTCCAGTTCTGAGATCAGGGGCCCCACAGGGATGGGACCCAGGACTGGGCCTTACAGGCCCCAGGACTGAGATCAGGCCCCTCACGCTCCAGAGTGAGACAGTCACTGTCCCACAGAGCCCACAGCCCAGGGGGGTACAAGGCCGGGGAGAATCTCGTCTCTTTCGGCCTGAGATTTTTCTCCAATTCTTCCCTATCTTGTGCCACTAACTCTCGGCCCCGCATGCGGCCGGTGCTTGAGCCCTTCTGATTGGAGGCTGGCTGGGCTGCCAGATGGGACGAGAGCACCATGGTTCCCGCCACAAATTCAAAACCTGCCCCCCCTCCCCACCCGCCACACCCACACTGCGAAAGGCCAATGGGTGCTGGCTTAAACTGGGCCAGCTCTGCTTGGGCCTGTGGGGGTGGGAGGCTTGGAAAAGGGAAATAAACTAAAAGCTGCAGGAGTAGACTCTGGGATTCTCTGCCCATCAGGTGCCCGGTGCCATGGCTGACCCGCCCTGAGGGGGATCGGTCCCCCTGTTACTCCCCTGAGGGGGATCAGACCCCTTGATAGTTCCCAGGAACAAGGGTCTGTGCTGGGCCCCGTCTCAGAGCCCCCTACTCCCCCAGGCCCATGGGCCACAGCACTGGCTGCTGCAAAGTGTCTCTGCCCTTGAGTGGGGAGCATGGCCCAGGTGGGGAGAGGGCCGTGAATCGGGGGGCGGGAGGGAGGTCCCCACTTCAAGCTTCAGCACAGCGAGCCGGGACAGTCTCAGCTTCTAGTAGGGCAGGGCCCCCTCCAGCCCCCAAAACCACCAGCTGTTTGGGGGAGAAAGGGCCAGGCCCAAGGCCAGACCCACTTCCCCTGAAGACAGGGCTGGACTCTCCCGGCTGCAGCAGGGGACACACGGGACCCTGAGTGCACCTTGCAGCCCCGACTGCCCGCCCCGGGTGAGTCCCTCCTGGGGGAGCTCTCTCCACTCAGCCAGCCCCATCCTGGGGTACCGTCTCCAGCCCTGCGCAGAGGTGGCCCCGGAGCCACGGGGGTTAAGGCAAGGAACGAAAATAGCAAAGCTGCTTAGGAGGGTGGCATGGCGAACGTGCGGCTTTCTCCAGGCTCAGTACTCAGGGACGCTCAGCAAGCTAATCAGATTGATTTTCCCTTTCGGGGGGGGGGGGGTGAGGGTGCAATTAACCCTTTGTTGTAGCCTGCGGGTCAGGATTGAGGGGCACTGACTGAGCTGGAAGGGGCAGGGCTGGGCTAGCAGGGGGCTGCGGGTTGGGAGTGAGGAGCAGCGGCAGAGCGGGGGGGCAGGGCTGGGCTAGCAGGGGCTGTGGGTCGGGATTGAGGGGCAGCGGCAGAGCGGGGGCAGGGCTGGGCTAGCAGGGGCTGTGGGTCGGGATAGAGGGGCAGCAGCAGAGCTGGGGAGCAGGGCTGGGCTAGCAGGGGCTGCGGGTTGGGATTGAGATGTTTCTCCCAGTATCCCAGCTGTGGGCTCCCTAGATCTGCCGATGCCCCCTCAATCCCAGTCCCCACCCTCTATCGCAGTCACCACCTCCCCCACCGCCACACACCCAGCTCTGGGATGTACCTTGGTTCCTGGAGTGGGAGGGGAAGTGGAAACTCTCTAAGGAACTTACAAAGCGCAGAGGAGGGGCGGGGGGGGGTGCTGGGGGAGGCTGAGGGGGAGGATGCTGTGTCTCCCTGGCTCAGTCCCAGGGGGCACGAGGTTTCGTGCTGCCTGGGTCCAGGTGCTGTGGGGTGCAGGCAGGCTGGGCAGGGTTGTGCTCTGCCCCACGTGATTCCAAGTAGAACTGACCCCGCAAGGTCCTAGAGCGTAGCCCCTGCCAGGAGCCCCGGGGAGTGCCCACTGCAAGTCCCGCAAAGGGAGAGAGTGGGGTCCAGTGGTTAGAGCAATGGGCCTGGGCGTCAGGACTCCTGGGTTCCATTCCCAACTTTGCCACAGATTCGTTGTGCCCTTGGGCATGTCGGGGGGCTGATCCTGCCCCATGTTCTGTAGCGCGCCCGGAGCCCCTCCAGCGAGATATGTGAGACCTGGGGGTGCCACATCTCACAGGCGCCCCCAGAATCCATCCGGTCCCACATGGGCAGGCAGGCAGCAGGATTTCTGCCCCGCTCGTTACGTCCTCCTCTGCCCTGCCCTGAGAGAAAACGAGCCCAAAGGGCTGAGCCAACGCTGACCCTTTCAATAAAAAAGGGCCTTAAAGGGAATTTTGCAGAAGCCTCTCAACGGGACCTGGTGCTGATTGTCCATCAGCTCAGAGAATGGCTGTGTTACTGCCCGTTCCCACCATGGGGCAGCGGTCTCTGCCCTGGGGCACAGAGAGCGTCTATCTGCCCAACCGCATACAGCCCCACCTGTCTGTCCATCCATCCCCACACACCCCATCTGTCTACCCATCTATACCTATAACCCCATCTATCTGTCCATCCATCTTCATACACCGCCATCTGTCTGTCCATCCACTCCTGTGCACCCCCATCTGTCTAAGGTACTTACCTGCCCCCCCCATCTTAGCAACCAAGTGCTTCCCAATCTATAATGGCTTCATCCTCGCAGCCCCCCGGGGAGGCAAGTACAGTGTGGTTAGTCTCACTGTACAGGGGGAAACTGAGGCACAGAGAAGCTAAGTGAGTTGCCCAAGGCCACTCAGGAAGTCTGTGGAAGAGCAGGGACTTGAACCCGGGTCTCCCGATTCCCAAGCTTGCCCCCTCACGACTGTGTGAATGCAGGGGGTTCCTGAGATCCGCTGGAACAGTGCGGCATCGTTTATTACTGAGTCACTTATTAATCCGTCTGATAACCCTACCCAGTCACTGAGTTATTAATCAGGGTATTGGGCATGTGCTTATGGGGAGAGATCAATCAATAAGCGATGGCTCCCACTGAATAATGAAAAGCTCCGGTCTTTCCTCTCGGCTCGCCTCGGCATCTTGCAGCACCCCCCTGCCGCCCCTCTGCTCTGGCCTTGGCGCGTGCAGGCTGCTGCAAGCCAGTCCTCCGAGCCTGGGGCTTTGCCATCTCACCCCCCCTTGGCATCCTGTCCCCTCCCTCCCTGCCGTCCCGCATTCGCTCCTCCTCCACTCAGCCCATGGTCCCAGCCTCCAGCGCCCACCTGGTCCGTTCTCTCACCAGCCCCTTGGCGCTCTCTCCTGTTCTCGGGAGGAGCTCACTGCGAATGTCCGCCCAATGAGCTCATCTCCTCCCGCACGGCCCTCCTTACACCTTCAGAACTCCTCCGCTGGGGCTGGTCTGCCACCATGCTGCGAGCCCGGCTCCCTCAGCTGCCTGGGTCCGGCTGGTCTTGCGTTTAGATTGTCAGCATGTTGGGGCTGGGGCCATCTTTGTTCTGGGTTTGTACAGCGCCTGGCACCAGGGGGACCTGGTTTGTGACTGGGGCGCCTAGGTGCTACCGTAATACACCTAATCAATAATGTACAGCGCCTAGCACCGTGGGGACCTGGCTCACGCATGAGGTGCCTCGGTGCTACCCCAGTGCAAACAGCGATAATAATATTGTTTTGACATACCAAGCGCTGTGTGTGCGTCATTCCCAGATGCTCTGATTGGTCTCTGCTGTAAGGTCTGCAATGGGGCATGGCCCAGGGGCATTTGCCCAGGGGTCACTTGCACTGAAAGGGGGAGGTGCTGGATAAATTGGGGTCGGGAATGGGTTGTAGAGCGTTTCTCCTGGAGGGTCTAGTGATTAGAGCAGGGAGGCTGAGAGCCAGGACTCCTGGGTTCTGTTCCCAGCTATGGGAGGGGAGTGGGGGCTAGTGGGCTAGTTGAGGGGAATTTGGGGCCGGGAGGACTGGTAATCAGTCCCCTGGGTTCTATTCTGAGGGGCTGGGAGCCCCGCTTGGTGCCTCAGTTTCCCCATGACGCTCCAGTAGCCATTTGGGAGGGGTGGCAGGCTCTTGGGGGGGATGCCTGCAGGGGTCCTGGTGCAGCTGCCGTCTCACCCCGTCTCTCTTTTGGTTGCAGGCCCGATCGCCATGAAGAAGACGCACACCTGTAAGTACAGTTCCTGCCAACGGGCCTCTCCCCCTTTGCACTGCGCCAGACATCCTGCCCCAGTGCGGATCGCGGGCCCTGCCCCTAATTGTCCATGGGGCACAAGGGAGATCTGCAAAGCCCAGCTTAGACCCTCTCGGCTCACGTGGGGATGTGCTGTAGCAGAGGCAGCATGGTCTAGTGGGCTGAGCAAGGGGACTAGGAAGCCTGATACTGCTGAAATCAAGCCAGGCACCTGCACTGTGCCTCAGTTTCCCTCCTGTACATTGCGAACAGGGATACCTGGCCGACTCTCAGGAGTCGGGCAGTTCTTTGCGCCTGACTATGGTTCTGTTTATAAAGGGCTAATAAGCAAGGGAGAGGTTGGTTAACTAATTATAGAGTCTTGTAATACCCAGGAGCTCAATAGCAGGTTGATATTAGTCTGGGGCCCCTTCTCACAATGTAGATGCAGCCAGCTCACACCTGGAACAGGCTCATGGCGTCTGTTCACCCTTTGTTGCAGCAGGATAGAGTTACCATTGAAACTCGCTTACCACTTAGCAGCTGGCTTTGTCTCAGGGCTCTAAAACCCACCGGCTGGCTTGGATTGCTGTCGGGCCTCGCCAGGGTAGGGGGGCAGGACTGCTGGTCCAAAGTGGGCGTTATTTGATCCAGGGGTTCCCGAGATACAGCCCCCCTGAAAAGTCACGTGACAGCCAAATGTTAGGGGTTTTAAGGGGAAGGGGGTGATGGGGGATAAAGAGCCCTTGGCATGGGGGGAAGAGGGCACCCAGAGCTCCTGGCATGAGGGAGGAGGGGAAGATGGGGTGCAGGAGAAGGGGAGGGTTGACACGGGGGGGAGGGAGGGGAGGGGAGGGTGGCGCCCTGGGAACAGGTGGTGAGAATGGAGAGGTGCAATGAGCTTGGCCGACGCAAGCGACTCAAAGCCGGCGTGGGACAGTGCTCCAGAGCACCCCGGGTTCCTCCGCACGCAGGGGGGGTGCCAGCGCTGAGCGTGCGTCTTTAGGGACTGTCCCGTCCTGCCCCGGGAGGGGTGAGATCTTCAGCAGGTGGTGGAACAGCCTTGTCCCAGCTTTGACCCCCCGGTATGTTGGGGCACGGGCAGGCGCTGCTGGGAGAAGCAGGATGGAGGCCAAGAACCCTGACACCCCTGCCCCGGCTTGCTCTCAGGAGAGGAGCAGACAGATCTTGCATATATTACACCCAGCTCCTCCTGTATTTGCTGTTCCAGTGCGGCTCCCTGTCTCTTCAGCTGGGCCGACGGAAACGGGGACGCTGGGGATATTTCCAAACATGGCTCGGTAAACACCATCCTTGCAATATCAGCTTTGCAAGCCTCTTGCATGCCAGATTTCTCTGGCATCTGTGCCTGCCAACCCCCTCAGCAGCAGCCAGCGCTTGTTGCCGCACAGAAAGGCCCCGGGTCCAGCCCTGGGTTGCCGCCCTGTGATTCCTTCCTGACCCTGAAGGCCTGAAGCATGGGAGTTGCCATCGTTAAAGTATCGTCTGGTGTGCTCTGTCTCCTTCTGGTGGCTGGATTATGCAAAGAGGGCGAGTCGGCTGATGCTTTTGGGCTAACAGACGAGCTGCAGCTGAGGCTCGTGAATTCGGAACGAGGGGGCTGTGGGTTTGGTGGGTAGCCCACCCTGCCTTGGCAAGCCCCAGGTCTGGGTGCCTGCCTGTCTGCAGCAGGGCGTCCTGGAGATGCACAGCCCCTGCCTTTCCTTTTCTCGGCGGGCTGCCCTGTTTAACCCCCTGCTGCTGCGGCTGGCTGGGCCTAGCTACGCCTGCCAGCGGGAGGGGAGGGGGGCCTGTTTCTCCCTGGCTCTGCCTGGGGGCTCCCTCTCAGCCAGAGCCCATGCCGTGCACGGTGGGGAGGGGGGGGGGGCGAGGTAGAGGCAGGCGCTGCGGTGAGCGGCAGGTTTGGTTTTCACAGTGCTGTGGTTAACTTGTCCCGAGGTGTGAACGCTCCTGGGGGGGGGGGAGCAGAAGGAAGCCCGGAGGGGGGTTGTTCTCTCCCCAGCCCACCTGCTGCAGAGGCTGGTCTCCCTCCCCCCACCTCACCACAGGGAGAGAACCAAAGCACAGCTGCCCCGGGGCTGAGCTGGTGGCGGGGGGCCTCACAGGCCACTTCCTCAGGAGGGTCCCAGGGAGGGGTGGGGGATCTGGCTGGGGGCATGGGGACCATGCCAAGGCAGTGGGGGTTGTATCAGCTGAGCCCTTCCCAGTGGGCCGCGCGGCTCCGTTGGTGTCTGCGTCGTGCCTGGGAGGGGGTGGGTGTGGGCGGGCGTTAGCAGGGCCCTGGCTGGCGCAGGGGGTTGTCGTGAGGCTGGAGATCCTGCCGCCTCTCTGGTTCGAGCCCGCTTTCATGAACTGAGGAGAGGCCAATTCCCACCTGGCTCCTAGGGGACCCCTCCCTGCACCTCCTCCAGGACAAGGACACTGAGCTGAGAGACCAAAGGACTCGATGAGCCATGGGCACCCGTCTCACCTCTTGCAGGGCCTAGGTATTTCAGGAGGTTTGTATTGCCATGGGGTGCCCCTCGGCCGGGGCCTGCTTTGCTGCTCTTCAGAGACAGCAGGCGTCTGTGCCCCCCGGAGCTGCACACCCTGCCGATGCATCGGGCCCCTGGCGCCGGGGTTGTGAACCGTCCGGAAATCTTTCTGTGCAGGTGCAGGGCAAACCGCAAGGGTTTCCACGGCAGGTGCACCAGCGCCCTCCCTCTGCCCAGCCCTTCCTCTGCAGCCAGCGCAGAGTGGGTGTGCACTGAGCTTCGCCACGCTTTCGAATGCACACCATCAGGGAGGCAGCGTTGCCTAGCGGTCAGCTGAAGAGGGCTGGGCGGCAGGACTGCTGGGTTCTAGTCCTGGTTGTAGGAAAGGAGTGCAGTCTAGTGGTTAGAGCAGAGGGTACTATGAGTCAGGACTCCTGGTTTCTATTCCCAGCCCTGTCTGGGACTTGCTGATGGCGGATCTGGTGCCTTGCGGAGTCCACCGGCAAGCTCAGGGCGAGTGGAAAGCACTGTGCCTGCTTCTGTTGATGGGAGTGCTTGGCGTTTCCCGTGTCGCCGGCGCTCCAGGGTTAGACGTGCTGAGTTGATACCTGCACCGTGCCACGGCCCGGCCAGGATCCGTGCACTGTGTATGCCAGGCGGCGATGCTGGGGAAGCTTGAGAAGCACAGAGAGGATTGGTATATAAAGAGCCTGTGGCCCAGGAGCTCAGTGTGATTCACTAGGAGAGAATTGGAGGGATTTTAAAGGACTAGAATTGTATTTAGTATTTTTTCAGTTGCCCCATTTGGACCAATAGCGGTGTAGATTTGCCTGGCACCCAGTAAAATCCACATTAACCTCCTCGTCTATAAAACCCCGGTTCATTCCATTCGGCCCTGCTAATATTCCCTTGCATACAAAATTCTTCTCGTTTCCCTTGTCCCCCCCTGTTGTGTTGAACGGCTCCCACGTTCCACACCAGAGGTGGCCGCATTCCAGCGCCGTGACACGCCCCACATTCCTGAAGTGTGCTGGGCTGCAGGGTGCTGTGGACAGGGCGGATGCAGTGCTGCCATTCATGTCGGGGTGGCTTTCCCTTTGTCACTGAGGCTTGCACAGCTCCGGGATGCAGAGCTGAGGTGCTCGTGTGTCTTGCACCTGGGGCTTGAGCCACACGTGGGTTACCTTTTCCTCTACTGGTGGAGGAAAGACGCCACACAAACCGCACGGCTGCTCACCGTGGCCCCGCCGGCCTCCACGTCCTCCTACCCTGCCGCACTGCCCATCAGTGTAGCGGCTTCAAGCCTGATGCAGCTAACGACTCACCACATGGCCAAGCCGGGGCCCTAGGAGCAAAGTTGATGATTCTGCCGTCTGGGCTGTGGCTGGAGGGAAAGCAGGTCACTAAATGACACCAGAAGTTGGGGTGGGGGGGGGGGAAATGCATGTATCTATATACACACATGATTTAGTTGGTGTTGGTCCTGCTTTGAGCAGGGGGTTGGACTAGATGACCTCCTGAGGTCTCTTCCAACCCTAATATTCTATGATTCGATGATATAAAAAAGACTTGGTTAAATTCACTGAGGGACTGAGGCACCTGGGTTCTGCTTCTGACTCTGGGAGGGTAGTGCGGCCTAGTGGTTAGAACACGCTGCCAGGAGCCAGAACTCTTGGGTTCTCTCCTCAGCCCTGGAAGGGAAGTGGTTCAAATAGGGTGGCTGGGAACCAGAACTCCTGGATTTGTCTCTTGCCAGCTCTGGGAGGAGAGTCGGGGGCTAGTGGGTAGTGCCAGGGGCGTGGAGTCAGGGTTCCGGCACCCTCTCCCCCGCTCTGTCCAAGGGATGGAGTCTAGAGAGGCTTGAGTGGAGAAGGCTGGAAGAAGACAGGAACACCTGGCCCCACGTGGTGAAGGGCAAGTCACCCTCCCTGTGCCCCCCTGCGCCCCCCCCCCCCCACACACACTTTGTGCAGCGCCTCAGGTTCCCTGGTTGTGAAATTGGGAGCCTGGTGCCCAGTGCTTAATTTGTGCCGGGTTTGCCAGGGCTGAGCCCCGGCTCCTCTGGGCCGGGCAGGTGGGAGCCCCGGCTCCTCTGTCGTTACGAATCAAACTTTGCTGGTGCTGACCCACTGCCCGGGGGGCTGGGAGTGTGTCGGCAAAGAGCCCTGTGCCGGAGAGGCGGGCGCAGGTTTTAATGCAGGAGAGAGTCACGGGCTGTCACCGGAGAAGCACAGGCTGGCCGGGCCCAGGGCTTGAACCCCCGGCCGTGCCGCACCCCTCTCCCCCAGCCCATCTCATTCAGCAATGGAAACTCGGCCTCTTGTGGCTTGTGGCTTTGGAACTTTCCAGTCAGCTGCCATTGGTTAGCCCCAGTGCATGGCGGGAGCACTGATTGGCCGGGGGGGACGCCTGTCAACCGGTCTTGCAAAGCCACCTGTGCTGGCGAGGCTGCTTTCAAATGCAAGCAGCCCTGGGCAAAGCATGGCACCCCGGGCCCCGCGC